AGTCCACGTCTCCTGTTTCAACGTCATGTGCTGACAACAGCAGCAGACTTTGCCACAATCCGTCTTCGTTAGCCACACATCAGCACCAGAGTAGACGTTGTCTCAAGTTCTCCGCTCCGTACATGATGAAGCTTAAAGAAAGACTTATCCTAGGGTTCAGCGTAGTTGCTGTTATGTTTACCTTGATACTAGTCATAGACCTTCAGATGGATCTTGGAATGTCTGGACACCATCTTGTTCCTAGTCACGGACGCGTTAAATTCGGTGACGGAGGTGTTGACGGACCGGGGTCTGCGTATAACAGTTTCCGTAAACGTTTCTTACAAAGAAGTAACAATGGTTCTAGAGAAATATCTTCGGGAGGTGCTACTACGAGTAACAATAACGTAGCATCGCAACAGCAAGATGGTGGAAGTGATCTTGGTGACGAGGGACGAAAAGTTGTAACGTCTTCCCATCAGAAAGGTGTCGAAGAGGAACCACATGATGATTTCAACGATTTGTTGGACTACGTGATCAACGCAGGCGACATGGATGCGAACAGGAAGGACTCCGAGGGCGTCTTGGCGAGGTCAAGTTTTGCAGTCTCCCAGAGGAGTAAGAACCCGACCGTAGGAGAACTCATGAAAATACCGGCAAGGTAAGACGAAATTTCTTCATGTATTTTATATTTGAGTCTGTACGAATATTCTTTTCAGGATCAAAACACAGTGTGCCCCAAAGCGATGTATACACATTGTAATATGGGACATTAACCTTGTGTGTATACATTTTTGGGGGCGCTCTGTATATGGGCCGGATTCGTGAGGAAATTAATTTCTGTCTTTGTGTTTAGATGAAAATGCTTTAAAGCTCTGTTCGTTTGTAGTGCAGTTTTATTTTATTGTGTGCAAGATAAATCTGATAATTTGTTGGTCTTTTGTTAAATGGAAATGCACTCACGTCCAAGAGATGTGATGCTCGTAAGGAGTTGAAATTATACTTTTTTTTAGAGTTTTTACTGGAAATTTAACTGCCCGGTTGGACACGAAAATCTGTTATATACCTTACTTCGTCATTTTTAAGGCGGACTTTAACAAATTTTAAATTATCTGAAAACAGGGATCGTTTTACATTTGATGGCATCTAAATATCGATATAACGTCTTCTTTTCCTGAAAAACTATTACTAAATCAAGATCGCGTCTTGTAATCGAGGAAATACTGTATTATATTTGCCAAATGGAGGATTATATAGAAGGGGAATGTGCATTCGTAATTTTATTCTAATAGATACCAAATAAGCAGCTGCAGGATGAAGAATCACTTGTGTTATTTGAAGCAAACAATAAAATCGCGTGGTTTTACGTTGGACAGAATTATTAAACAATCTATTGTCTGCAGGAGTCCATATTACTACAAGCAAGGGGCTCGGAGACGAATTTACCTTATAAGCAATAACAATATACGTATATATAGTGGGATTTTATGTTAGTAAAATAATATCACATTTCTAATAGTTATTTTTAGTAATGCTCGTGTTAGTAGCTTGCTGTAATTATTCATAAATTCGAATTGGAAAGTTCAGAAATTAGGTTTCTCTACAAAACTGATTTGAGATCCTAATTCAAGTGGCATCTTTGATGTGGTGACGCTGACCTGACGGTGAATAATATTCTAAATATACACGGACCGAGTGCAATTGAAATCGATTCAACTGTTTGCGTGAACAGGGAATACAAATATCGCATGATGGGAAAATAGATATTAATTATTATTTCTGCATTACAAATGGAGTTGACTGACCGCTAATTGCAATAAATCTTCATAAATTTACATCTGTACGATAATCGTGTGTGGAATGGAAGATGCCTGTCTTCTGAGTTACCAGATAATCCAAACAACTTTTGCCAGACTTCACGGCGCTACATACCAGAAGACAGCCATCTTCATACTCGCCACCGTGTGAACCTCAAATGAAATATGTTGATTTGATTCTTTTTTAGGCGAAAGGGTTTTTATTTTAGTGTGATATTGCTACTTACAACATCTGTGAGCGATACAGTTGATATTTGAAGCTGAATGTAGATGTTCTCTGGTAGTTCCATTTGAATCAGCTGTGGAGAGTCTTTTTTGGATGATTTGAGTAGAAGACAGAGTACTGCAGTTCACTTTTGTTACTAACTTTGCCTAGTTTGTTACATTTTCGTGTCATCTGACACTACTACGACTAGGCGTAAATGGGAGGATAATATTAACACGTGTACTCGGAAATAGAATTCGCGGATGTGGATTGAGTTAAACCGGCTCAGGATACGGTCCAGTGGCGGGTTATTGTGAATACAGTAATGATTCTTCGGTTTCCGCAAAATGATGTAGATACCAATGGAGGAAGATTGGAACTTGAGACGTGTCGTAGGCGTAATTATATAATTATAATTTAATAAGAACCGCCACGGTGGTCTAGCGGTTAGAACGCTGGCCTTGTAATCCTGTGGTCTCGGGTTCGATTCCCGGCGGTGCCCGAATTTATAACTTGTGTTGGGCAAGGCCGTGGTCTAGGCAACACGGAGTTCTCCTCCGGGGGCTTCCCCGGTTTCTCCGTGTCATCCCAACAATTACTCCATTCACACACAGAAGAAGGCAATGGCAAACCACTTCTGGATCATCTGCCAAGAACGTATATGAACAGGTCCCAGTCCGAGAAAAGGTTGGAAGGATCCTGTTCATATGGACCTGTCGTCAGACAGAACACTAAATAAAAAAAAATTGAATCCTACATGCCACGTTCTCCCGCTGAACACGCTATTTATTATATTAAATAAAATAGTTACGACAACTGCGAGGGAATTTCCACTCTTAATGAAAGCAGTCGAATCCATTGTCTGGTTTCTGTTGACAGACATTGATATGTAATTAATTAGCGTCAAGATATCGAATGGACTTCGGAGTGTGAGTGGGAGGAGAAATTGGGTATATCCGTGGAAGATTTCCCCGTAACTTCGTCGACTTTAAATCTCACATGAAACGGTAGGACCTGGGTTCGTCCGGCGCTGTAAACTGAACTGGAAGACGGCGCGGAAGTATATTTTGAGTTTCAGATCTGTGTAATTTGTAATCAGTAACTTTATATACTGACATAATTACATATAATCAGTTTTTGGAAATTGTTTTACTGATTTTCCGACTTGAATATTTATGTTTTATCATCACAAAACCTCGGCGTTTGTCCTGAAATAAAAACTGTGGAATGACACACTTAAATGTTTCCATCATGATGACCGACACATCGACTCTCATCGCATACCTTTACCAATACGTTGTTATGAAGGAATTTTCCTGTGCATTTGAAAGCACATAAGTGCCTTTTTATGAGTACAGAATATAACAAAAAAAAAGTTATTTTGCACCTTTCGTGTATTTGCATACATTGCGAGGCGAGTGTTCATACCAAGGACGGGAGAATGGGATTTTTTTTATTTGCAGTTTTAATAAGCTACTAGATAAAGCACACTAACAAAATCCCACGAGTGGGAACACAAAATCGGGGTTTAAATGTGTCAAAAAGTACAGACACGTTTGTGCGCTATTAATGTAACAAGGAGCTGCTTTTGTTTGGTAATTGTAATTTCTCTTACTGATACTTAACGTGAACCGTCATGAACTCATTTGGCTGCAGATTGTTAACCTGAGATTTAAATTTAAGAATGATGTGAGCTTAGCAGTGGGCAAAACAGTTCGTTAAATAATGTATGTAAACTGTAAATTCCAGAAAAATTCCAGAGTATTTAACGAAAAATTAGTTTCTGTAGCGGAAATTTGCTAAATGTTGTTCATGTAAGAGAAATAAGAGATGTTGCACCGTGTACTCATCGCCCTGATGATGGAGGCAGCGAAGACCTCCGAAACGTCAGCAGACTCCTACGAGACTACACGGTGCAGCATCCAAGAAGACAGTATACTCGCCGCCATAAGAACCTGATATGTTCCTGGGTGAGTGTCAAATCGAAAATGGAGACTTCTGTTTAATATCATCAGTTCATAGTTCAGTGGATTTAGAAATTGTGAGTGCACTTATTTGCGAAGCATCGGGACATAAGCTACCAGTACGTAACCTGACCTGTATGGTCAGGAATTTTAAAGCACGACGCGCATTAAAACTGCTGTGTTGAATGATAAAAATTCTTCCCTGCTGGTGTTAGGATCGCAGTTCGCCTTTTGCACTGTGTAGTCATTTTGTTTAACTTCGGTTGAGGAAGCGAAGGTTAGGATTGCTCACTCAACTCACCCTGTGGTGCAGGGTGTTCTTTGAAACGTCGATTGTTACTCGGCTTGTCAAAGAATATCGCGCTTGTTTCGTGGAATCCGAAGGTTTAGGTTAGGATCGATGTTTAAATATTAATTTTAATTGTTGGAATTTCGAATGTGGGAATTATAAAATTTGTAATTCTGGATTTTGGAAGTTCGAAAAAATTTGAAAATTTTATAATTGCTTACAAATTTTGAAAATTTAGGAATTTTGAAATTTGACAGGCAGTAGAGTACAGGAGTAACCAACCTGGCGTGTGAAATGATTTCGGGTAATTTGTACAGTGAAGATGGCTGTCTTCTGGGCTGTTGCGCTGTGTAGTCTGGTAGAAGTTTACCGACGTTTCAGAGGTCCTTGCTGCCTGACAGCCATCTTCGGACTCACCGCTGTGAAAATCACAAATCCTACAAATTTTATAATATAAGGATACTTTTTATTGCAATTTATTCCGAGGTTTGGAGATAGTCTGTTGCAATAAACGTGTCTTCGCTACAGGTGCATATGTTTTTTAGCCATGGGTGTAGTTGCGTATAAACGGTTTTAACACAAATTTCGTTATTGTAAAAGTGAATATTGACTTACAAGGCTCTCTTGTAAATTACTTCACCTCGATATAAGCTTATATTTTATTCACCTTTTGAGGATTAA